GCAATGCTATGAATGAAATCTGTCTACTCGATACAGGTTGCAGGTGTGGAAGACGAATCACTTCCTTTGACACATGATCCATGCCTCGTAGTGGCACACATTTCACTTGTGAGGAGACTTCAGTCAAATTTAGGAGAAGGAAGAAGGAGAATGGAACAAAGAGAGAAGCCTCTCTTCTGCACATTGTCAACTCCTTTGCAGCGATTGTTTTGCCAAAACTATCATCAAATTATGAAACAAATAATATTTTCCCTAAGTAATTTAAATGCTATTTTTACCCAATCATTTTTCCCAATATTTCAGTTTAATAACATTTGTCGTAGAGACCACTCACATGAGTTTTCTATTCTAAGCTTTCCCCCTTTACTCTCCTCGGTCTATAAAGCTAATCAGTCTGCCGTCTGGAGTGTCACCATCAAAGAGGCTGAGAGTCTGCTAGGCCATCGCAAAATTTCCAGACACACCCACATGAACTCCAGACAATAAGGTAATCCAGCCTTAATTTAGGCATAAAAGTGCATCTATCAAACTTTAAACAATTAAATTCCAAAAAGTGGTTGCTTTTGTGCCAAACCCAATAAAAAATTATCCAGCTACGCAGAGCACTCCAAAAGCTAGGAATGAGTGCCAATTTAAAATCATGAAATTGAATCCTGGTCATTCAAATTACTTCCTCGATCCAACTTAGTGATCACCGGCAGTAAAGATGTCAAAACTGCCTAAATGACAGGGTACCGAGAGAGAACTACGAGGGAGAACTTGCAGGCGGTGAGGCAGAGGAAGGCGTTGACTATGGCTGCAAGCACCATGCAGACCAGGATGCTGACGGCGCCTACTATGCTGGAGGAGATGCTGCACTTGTAAAAAGAGAGACGCATGCACACACACTTCGACATGAACTGACTGCACCTCCCGCCCTGTTGCACCTTCAAGAAAGGAACCTACCCGATGAATAGTGTCAAAGGCAAACACACAGCAGCAGGGAGATTGACAATTGGGTGGCAGGGTCCTTATTTGCACTGGATGTGATCCACCTTGGCAAATATGATGAGCACACCCGAAGGAGAAACTGCAACAAAGTAGGCGACGGTTTCAAATTTCAGCCCCTTTTCTTCCGCACTTCGGCATTGTTGCCGTCCTCCAAGTGTTAGTCACCATTCTGAAGAGGGTCCGTCTTAATATAAAGGATTATGTTTAGAAGTTCACACCACGCAAACTATGAAAAAAAAATATAAAAAAGTCA